AAAAAAAAAAAAAAAAAAAAAAATACTACAACCTATCACATTTTATACAATATATTCCATAGTAAATAAAACCACTTCGTCTCACACAAGTACGTACCTAGGTACCACGTATGGCAGAGTGCTAGAAGGTTGGTTAAACCCAGTGGAAAATGTAGTAGCTACAGAGGACTCGCACGAGAGTACCGCGAATAATAAAACACACGTGAGTGTAGGGGGAGAGTATTGCGATAACGTCTTTAGTATGGTTTCAACGTTATTACTATATTACACGTACGTACCTGAATAACTATATGCATATGGGAGAATGCGGTATACAGTCGGTAGATGTCTAGATAGAGGCCGTGGAGGAGGGGGTGGAACTCGGGGTAGGTACCAGGTAACCAGGTATATAGTACAAAGCGCGTGGGGTAATGCGTGGGGTAGTGCGTGGCTAGTGGGCCGCGTGCCGAGTGGACGTGAATCACGCGAGTTCGCGTGCGAAAGTTTCCCAGGCATCGGAGCGGCGCCTCCGTCCACCCCCCTCCGCCTCCTTTAACATTACCTTTTTAGAAGTTGATATTCAGCCCTGTGTCATTTCCAGTAGAATAATCCGCAAAACGCTCCATAGACTACTGACTCACCGGAAGACCCAACCGCTGCAGCCAGATACATTTGCCTCGATCAAAAGCGTTGATATTTGAAAACCAGTTGCTGACTAGATTTTTTTTCTGCTTACTCGTTAACCAGGTACAATCGTCAGTGACGATGGCGCCATCTGTACACGCGTTCTCTCATTAAGCTGTCCAAGTAGCGTGTGTCTGGCTATTGATGCGCATACCGTAGCGCGGTAAGAGTCCCAACTGGCAAACTGAACCATGATTCTGTTATCGACTGCCGTACTTATAGGTTAAGTCAGGGTGAAATTAAAATGCCCGGTAAAAACTGATTCCTGTTAATATATTGTATCCTTGCTGAAATAACTATCTGTACTATTTAGTCTCTGGACTTTTGGTCTGGTTGGGTCTATTGTCACCTCTTCTCTGTTTTGGTTAAACTGGGTCAGTTTGATCAGCGTTAAATTGCACGAGTATTCCGAGGGTCGACTTGTAAAGCGATCCAATTAAGAAGAGATGGGCGAACCAACCGATCGGCATCGGTAAGCGGATGAAGGTTAGACGTATGAGAGATGGACGGGGTTAACGTGTACCTGAAGTATCTGGACGAATTTCGCTTCTGGACCTTTGCCGATAGAGGGTTATTGGAGAACGAGTGAGGGGGGGGGG